ACCCACACAGAATGAAAGACGGGAGAGGTTGTACACCGGCTATGTTCTATTCATTCAGACTGTAGGTGAGGGAGGGTGTGCATAGCATGTTTACTATATACTCATGCCAATAATGGTTGTCACCCCCTCCCCACCCCAACCCCCACACCTCACACCCACACCCACACCCCACACCTCACACCCACACCCTCTCGCCAATTAAAAAATCTGAAGGGGGTGACAACCATTATAGGCATGAGTATATTACAAGTCAGTGTGCGAACTGGTTTCCAAATTTTGTTACCCAGTCGGGCTACCTATGCCTGAAAGTTACTAGCCCACAAAATAATTCACTAGCCCGAAATTTGAATGTAGAAACTGAGCAAAAGATTGCAAACATAGATGAGAATAAGATAGTGTCGGCATGGCATGGGTTTATTATAACTTAACAAGTCGGAGAGAGTGAAATATTTACAAAATGACCCCGTGAATTGGGTGTGGGATGGGTGGGGGCGGGGAAGAGAATGGTTTCTTTTGTTGTATTGGATAAGCTGCATTATGCATGCAGATGCAAGTCACATATATCTTCATAGCTGCTTAAAAACCTGTAACATTTATTGGTGTTTGACACAACCTACCTACTGTATGTGTGCGTGCGTGCGTGCGTGCATGTGTGCGTGTGTGTGCGTGCGTGTGTGTGTGTGGTTATAACTATAACTCTTATTCACTTTTATATTATATTTGTACCATCAAGTAATTAGTGTCTCGTTGGCCAACTGGCTGGGTGCTCTTTTTTAATGTATCATACTATGTCTATACAATTTGTACCACAGCATGTGACACTTTGAGAAAATAATTTCTTCTTCTTCTGGCGAGGTGGGGTATCCTAGTGGTTAAGGCTCCGAAGACCCAAGACCCGGGTTCGCTGTGATATTGCTGAAATATTGCTAAAAGTAACATAAAACCATACTCACTCACTCACTCACTCACTCACTCACTCGTCTTCTTAAGTGCCTTAATCATAAGCGCATGCTCACACACAATTTCACTTTAGACATATATACGTGCTGGTATTTCTATGACCGAACCCATATACAGTGTATAGGCATTTTTCTACCGTCTATTACTGAACATTCCTATGGTTGATGATTTGCTCTGGATATAAGTTGGATATCCCATATATTTCCACATACCTGCTCCTGGTCTGCATAACAAATATTTTATTGAAGAATACCAAGCAGTCCAAACTACTCATTATCACTTTTCTTTCACAATTTATAGATTTCTATATTATAAGAGAAACAATTTAAATCACATCCAGGACCTACACTTTTACCGAATATCTTAAGATATTCAATATCAGTAACATATGTGCCACTATGCTGCTTCATGTCATACCCAAATATATTTAGCCTTGTAGGGTATCTGACAAAAAAAGAATCTTAAATAGAGTAAGCAATAAATACACAAATGCTGGTCTACTAATGTTTCATTAATTATTATGTGCATTATATACGAAAACATGCCATATCTAAAAAGCTATACATTTTCACTGCATTAAGATGGAATAACATTTGTCCCACCTGTCCCTGTGCACATGGGTGATCCAATGCTTTGTACTTTTGGCCATGTGACCTCTGATACTGAATAAATTTCTTGTTCTTGTTCTATTTTTATTGTTCTTTAATACATAAGTTTTGAAGTAATCAGCTTTAGAATGGTATGCATTTAAAATATTGTATAGAATGAAATGAATGTTATTTCCACAGAAAACATCCAGAATTTTGCTTAATTGTTGTGATTGAGCACACAGTACATGACATTGTTGTTCAGTTTAACAATGAAATACTACTCAAAAGTGTTTTTGTTTTGGAAGCTGCATCATAGGTGTGTCATACCATTAACCATGAGGAAGTTAATGGTCATGATAGTCATGGAATATAAGAAACTTTAGACTTGTGCTGCAATCTACGAGCTCAATCCTTCAAGCATATTCCTATAACCTATTAAGATTGTTAGATAGGTTAGGAAATGGCAAGCATTACTTTTCATAATCACCTTTCCCATCTTCAGTTATAACTGCACACTTATAACTACATGTATATTAATCATGTTTTTTTTTCTTCAATGTTTTTTTCTTGACAAACAAGTGATAAAACCCCACATATATAATATATTTTTATTCATTTTATCAAATTTAACAACCAAAATCACTGTCAGTCTATCAAACAAAACTTTTCAAGGTAAGAGCCTACTCCACAGTCCTTCTTAAATTTACTTGTCCAATAGTATACATATTAATCCAAATTCATATTTAATACCTTAATGGGTCACACTTTTCAACCTATTGTATACATGGGTTAAAATCAAGACAACATTATCTGTTAACATGCATTGCAAAAATTAAGAAATTACCTAACCATATACATCCCCATCCAAATTCATTCACAGATTTACAAATTATTTCACAAATATTATTATTTCTCCCACAAAATGTCCTATATGAGATAACCACCTTGCTCAAATAAACAGTAGGTTCTCACACCTTTCATAGAGTCAGTTCCTCCTTGGAATTCTTGTTTCAACAATCTGGTGAGCAGCAGCAGATCTAAACAGACAGCTACTCAGTAGCAATTAGGGAAGCATCTGGTGACATGTTTATGGCAAGTCTGCACAGTCAGTGCTAACTCAAACTGGTCTCTATTCAGTTGATTCAGCCATTAACAGACAGTTTTAACCAATTCCACTTTCACCAATTCAGTTCAAGCAAGTCTAGAAACAGACAATCACTCATATCCAAAGATGATGGCAATTCATTGATTATAATCAACCTTTGATATACTAGTATAGTACATAATATCATCTCTCAAATACTGGAGTTTGTTTTCTGCAATACATATTATAATGTTTGCAGCAAAAAGTGAGAAATACAACCCAGATATGACACTGTATAATTGTATACCTGGACTCAATTGAAAACAATGAAATGTGACTGTTTTTTATAGTACATGTACATAACATAGCATTCAAGTGTAAGGAAAGCATCTTCTTTATTGGGGGAGGTAACATGTAAAAGGTGTGCATGTGTTTGGTGTAACAGATATGCTTTGTTATATACCAAAAATGTACTGTGCATGGTCGGCGGTATTAGCATACTAGTAGGTAACATGTAATATATAATACAATTATGAAGTCAGGTGAATAGATGAAGCCTGTGTACATAACGTCAGTCCTTCATTACCTTTCCAGTTACCCTCCCCCAACCAACCCTCCCTCCCCACCAAAAACCGATAGTGTTCATGGTATCAGTATCCTCGAGAGTAAGGAGAGATTTATCATGGAAGTTGAAAGGGTTTTGTCGTTTTTTTACATGTACTGATGCGTTTCATTGTCAGTAAACCTGTACATAACTGAAATACGCTGCCATGTAGGAGATAGTGAGTTTGGTTTTACGCCGCTTTTAGCAATATTCCAGCAATATCACGGCGGGGGACACCAGAAATGAGCTTCACCCATGTAGGAGATGCTTGGTGTTTACCTCCCAATCAATTCTCCTACAACCCCATGAGATTTGTATGATATTTTAACAGCAAGTATGACAATAATGTTTCCTGTCACCACACTCTGCTGTCATATATTATTTTGATCATATTTAATGCCCAGACCTGCATAGTGAACCCCACACCCTACACAATTCAGTTGTCAAGCCCATTCCGTTCCTTCGACAGACAACGGCAAACTCACTCCATTTTCCATTATTCCAATGACTACTTAACTGTGTTCAAATGTTCAGGTTGATATAGTTTATAACACTCAGCGTTTGGTCACAAGCTGATGTTCAGGGTAAGGGCAAGCTCGTGATTTCGGCCATCACTATAACCATTACATCCATAAAAATGCTCATGGGTGTCTGTGATATTAATTCATGAATCATAACTGATTCCAAATCTGTTTCTTTTGGTCGATAAAGATCTGTTGTTTCTTGTTTCAGTTTTGGAGGTTCTGTATCTGTTAAATGTGACATTAATCCAAGGGTTTCATTAAACATGTATACTCAAGGGAATGAGACATGAGTAAAGTAAAAGAGATCATGCAGCATTTACTGCACATGCAACCATTCACACTTACCCACACTTACCCACTTACGGTATGTTTTATGTCAAGTATTCTACCATGACTTCAGTAAACACTGGATTGTGATTGGTTAAATAAAGTCATTCAGAGGTATATAATCACGTTATTAGTAAAAAACAGAATTCGTCACATATAGCATGATTACAAAGATTACAAAGTCGGGTATATTTCAAAATAGTAAACAAGCGCCCTGTTTCTATTGGTAATCTATGATTTGTTGTCCTATATTTTGTTGGCCAAATTCTACTTTGAAAGGGTAATTTAAGATATTTAACATCGATTTGTACTTATGTATAGCTGATCCAGTTGTGACTTGGCTGGTCGTGTTCAATTGCCCGCAATACGGAAATGTGCTTTTATCCCAAGCTCATGAATCCATGTTGTCAATACTTTGGGAAATCTCTGCTCTCTTTTATTAATGTGATCCCACTGAATGGCCAGACCTTTGTATTCCTCGTATCACCTACCCTTAACTAAACAGTTGTCGGTCTTTTATTTTTCCCTCGACAACACGGTTTAGTGTTATTCAAAACCCATCAATGTTTAACTCTCATATCAAATACTCAGGTTAATTTGGCCCATAACACATAGCATTTGGTCCCGAACCTAGTCCATTATTTCGACCATCACCGCATACATGTAATGTCTCATAAAAATGGTCATGAGTGTGCAGATACAGTGTGTAATACTACACACATATTTGTATTTCTACGATTACAAGATGTCTTGTTTTCAAGCTTCTATGTCTGCTAACACCAAGCTAAGGTATTCCTTATTTCACGTCACATTATTCAACATATATTCAGTTGAATTGCACACCAGTCACACCGAGCGACATCATGCAGTACTTATTGCACACGCAGCACAAGCCATATCATAACCCTGGGTGAAAACAGAATAATTTAATATCATTATATACACTGATATATGTAGAAAGGCATATCAGATTTCAAAACACAACCAGATTGGGAACAACACTCACACACTATGTACATATGTCTATGTTCAAAATTTACAAGAGTGAATGGAATGCATAAATTGGTAACTGATGTTAGGTACATGTCAATACGTAACTCCTTGCAAACAAAAATGTCTCAAAATGTATGAGATTCACACGCAATCACTTGTTTTAAAGACAAGAGTTTTTATGAATGACAACTTCTTTATTGTGAAGGGTCACGACGTTTCGAAGTATGTTCTTACTCCTTTATGAGGTGAATGAAACAATTAGGGGAAAAAAAGCTATATATGTACATGTTGAAACAACAACGGTATAACAAAGGAAGCCAGTAGGTAATTGGTGGATGGACAGGTGGAAGCCAGGGATTGTTAATCCAGGCATGATTGATAAGAAAAACAAATAGAAGCCAGGGGGTATAATTAGCACTTACTGGGTGGATTGTTAATCCAGGCGTAGTTGATGAGGTAACAATAGTGGCATATAACAGGGTGGTAAGAAAACAAATGGAAGCGAGACCTAATAGTAATAAATACAAAGAGACCAGCAGTGATAGTAAATTAAATTAATAAGTCCCCAGCGCTAGGTAGATAAATGGAATGTTGTGTTGTTTGCTATGTGTGTTGGAATGATAGATCAATATTGATTATTTTTCTTTTTTTTTTCTTTTTGATGTTCTTATTACGAGATTTAGGTAACATTTTTGTTGGGCAGAAGAACTTCGTAAACGAGATAACGAAGATCAGAAGAATGACATTCAATTTTTGTCAACTGCCCTGACGTTCCCAGACACAATGCTGTAGGACTTGGAAACCCGATCTGGCATAAATAACACTCTCCCCCCATTGTCTAAATGTGACACAATAGAATCCTTCCATAAGGCACGAATGTGTTTGACAGGGAAATATAACAAATCACAGCAGTGTCTCACATGTGTGAGTCTAAACTGACACTTCTTAATTCACAGAGACACAAGATATACAAACTACAACTTTAAGAACAAGTACTGTATATCGGAGATTGGAAAATCAGATTATAATTAACAATCATTTTCATATTTTATGAAGTCTGTGAAATGAATACTTGCAAGTAATTTAACTTAATCTTCGGATTCCAGTTCATGAAAATAAAGTCAGTATGTCTGCATGCCACAATTTTCCAAATGGAGGATTTCTTGAAGTGAAATCTATTTGGAGAGTGAGCAAGTCACTCACAAACACACAATATTCCGTGTGAGACGTGTCCTGCAGGGGAGTGGTAGTCTGCAGGTTGTGTTTAACCAGTATTCAGTAACATCTCCTTCTTTTCAAAGAGACCAGCTGTTCATTGAATGGCAGGTAACATCTTTGTGAAGGTACCCAGCTTCTCTCCTTACTGTCTTCATCAGTATGGGTACTTGAGATACAAGTTTCAACCTGGGTTAGGCATTGCTGCCATCCCCTGATGACTGACGCTGGCATTGAAGCTCTGTTAAGCCAAACTCTGGATTTGGCATTTGAATTGTTACCGTCCCTGGGTTGGGTACTTCGTCTACAAATGAAACACATACAAGTACGAGGGTAATCTGCATATACAATATTCACGGACTAATTACTTCATCACTTTTGTGATTTCCTAGGATGCTACATACAATTAGCTCTAGGTGATCCAAGTGTCAGAGGTTTAAGTCTGGACACTAGGACGGTGTCAACAAAGTAATCCACTCAACCATCGCGGCTTCCACAGGTGGTTAGATTGCTGACTTTGTGTGCTGGCGATTAGGTGCCTGACTCTGAGAGTGTGGGTTCCAATCCCGGATGGGACTCAACCCCTAGAGTACTAGATTCTGTACTTCCCTCAGAAAGTGTAATCCTAAGTATATAATACTTTCTAAATGTGTATTCCTAAGTATATAATACTTTCTAAATGTGTATTCCTAACCAACGTCAAAACATGAGACTAAAATTCATTGTTAAATACTTGTGAATATGATTCATCTGTCAAAATATATGTATATTACATTCAAAATTAGAACTGTATTGTAATGTTATTCAGTACCAATAGAATTATTCAATACATGTGTAGCCTGACACATTGGAATGATATGCATGTGTGTACTATGACCATGGACTTTAAAGCCCTAAACTGTACAGTTACAGACTTTACACGACCCTACTTACAACCACTAAGTGATGTCAGTGATGAGGATCCGGGGCTATCTGTGTGACTCTCGGTGCACTCTACCGGTTTCTTGTAGCCACCAATAACGCAGGGGAGACGGCGCTGTAGTCGTGATGGAAGACGATGTTCACAGAAACACACCATCAGGCCATACACGCTCACCAAGACAATACACAGACCGAGTATACAGCAGATAGTTATAACTGCGGGTGTGAGTTGTTGGCTTTCAATAACTTTCGGTTCAAAGTCTGAAATACAAGCATGAATTATATTGTTTAGAATGTATTATTATCATACGATTGGGCACCACTTACTGAAAGGATAAATACGTTAAAAATTTATCATAACGCTTGAAATCAGTTGATATCATCTGTTAGTCATTTGTGGCGTTATATTGACATAGTATCGTGGAAGAGACACTGTCTATCTATGTAGCATAATGGCACATCGTTTAAAACATTTTTTATAGTTAAACTGAAATTATAACACAGTTTCTTAACACATTCCCAGTGAACATGTAATGAAAGCACTGCACGTAAATGTAGTATGTTAAAGTTCTGGTGTGTGTGTGTGTGTGTGTGTGTGTGTGAATAAATTGATATTTTGAAGGTGAATATCGTATTAGATCATAATATATAAATGACACTCACATGTGGGACATTTATCTTTGCACTGGGCAGTTGTTCCCTGTATGACGTGGTTGTCGCATATGACACTGCAGTAGTCACACCGTGATATGGCGCTGTCGTAGTACTGGTCTGAAGGACACTGAGGTAGCTGAGTGGTTGCTGCTCCATCCTGTCGGTACCCTGATACACAAGTGTTCATTAATAACCGTGAAGACTTTGAGTTACATGTTTAAATGAATGCGAAATATCACACATTTGCTATCACGATACCTGAGCAGAGTAATTCCTTGTAATTTGAATTGAATGTGTTTACCTTTTCATGTAATCTCAATAAATACGTTCATTGATTGATAATATATTATACGTTTGACTTTGAATTCTTCCAACAAGGTGATGATACCAACCATAGTTTTATATGTTCATGATGCTACACATAAATTTATAGCTCTAATATACACACACATAGCCGTTTCGTGGTGTAGGAATTGCTCAATGTCAGGCATTTAGACTAATGGCACATTTAAATGGCAACTGGAAAAATATTACAATTCCTATTGATACATTTCAGTTGTCACGAGATATTCATTATATATTGGAACCTTAATCTACAAGTGTTTCCACACACGGTCTCTGGTGTCAGTCTAATCGGAGAAAGGACATTTGGTGGGGTGGAGAGGATGGGGATAGTTCGTTTGTATCCGTCAAACGAAATGCCATTTTTCATTATCTGCCACTGAGTCTAACAAACAATACACAACTACTGGGTTAATTTGATATACTGACTCGCTGACTATCTGTCCTTATTGTATCCTTTCAAGTCTTGGGCCAGAAAGGTAAACAGTTTCTATCCCATTTCAAAGGAGCGGTGGGGTAGCCTAGTGAGTGAGTGAGTGAGTTATTATTTATCGTCACATCGGCAATACTTCAACCATATCGTGACGAGAACAATCAATTATTATATCATATATCAGTAAAATTAGAAATTAAAAGCCTGTTGAATAAGAACAGTATAACTATTAGTATATCACAGATATCCCTTTACAACTAGTAATTAAATCTAAAATACTTTCACTAGAAATAACAAGACAATGTAGAAACAGGCTATAGATTCCCAACAACTGAAGGTAGATCACTATACCGGGGTAGCCTATTGGTTAAAGCATTCAATCGTCACGCCGAAGACCCGGTTTCAATTCCCCACATGGCTACAACGTGTGAAGCCCATTTCTGGTGTTATTGCTGGAATATTGCTAAAAGCGGCGAAAAACTAAACTCACTCACACACCCATTTTATATATGACACGGCAATCTATCGAATCGCCGACCTTCCGCTCTAGTGGGATCACTATACACTACCCCTACTAGACGGTTAGAATATAATAGAAGAATATGAACTGTGAATAAACCAATTAGAAATGAAGGGTCCTTGTCACACACTTCTTTGCAACCAGCAACACGAATAAAACTGACACGAACTGAATACACCTGTGATGACTCTTACCTGCACACAGTCGTTGACAGTCCGCCTGAGTTCCTTGTATGTCCGCATGTTCACATATATCCCCACAGTCATCACAGTGATTTGTTACTGGGCCCAAATAGCTGCCCGGTGGACAATCTCCACTTACAGAGACAGCTAGCGTTATAATGACAAACAGTTCTGTAAAACACATGTTTGTTTCCTCTTCCAGAGAAACACGTCCAGCCAGCCCGAGAGATAGGCCAGACTGAAGCTTATACGCCGGTAGGTGTAAAGAGATCGATTAGTCATACCCGTGTTTTCGCTGAACGTGTGTTGCGACCAAAACTTGGATACGACCAGAACTGGGATAACTAATATGGAGAATTATACGTCTTACTGTCAACTATGTATTTAATCGACAAACAATTATTAAGATCAAAATCAGCTGCACAACTCGTGTCCTTTATTTTAACTACTGATCGCAAAAAATGCCAATGGTAGCGCTCCATAGTCGATGTCCGCCATAATAGCTAAATATAGCAGCGCAGAAAATGTAGAAACGTGAAACTGAGACGAAATAGAATTCATTTTCATACGCTTTACTGCAATTACTCTACTAGCTTAAAAATAAGTGAGCGACCAATTAATGTTCTTGGTTGTGGATGCTGAATTTAGGTGTCAGGTGTTTTTCATTCATTTTTATTCATAATGATTCATTCATTCCCAGAAATGGTTACTGCTCAACTTGAAATATGACTTTCTTGCAATATCTAATGATATTTTAAGATATAGCTAATTATTCCTTTTAACAATATATGTTTATGCCCACAAATAGAACCAGAAAATATATGATGTGAATGGTATTGGATTTTGATTTTATAGTTTAATAAGTCTGCTAATATGTGTAAAAATATAGTAAGTTGTCTCTAAATATCGGCAAGCCTGGCCATTTTGCACAGTGTTTATGTAATAATACAGTAAATAGTTTCTTTTAAAAAGAACGGGGAATAAAAGAAAATTTAATTATGTCATAATTATTTTTTAATGATGTTACATCCATTCTTGATGGGTATGTATGTATAACAATTCAAGTTTGTTTTGGGGATTTAAGTTATTTGTGTTATGCCATTTGTGAGAGTATATAAGAGATTGGTATGTTGCTTGGTCATACTTTTCAGAGAATATTTCTTATGAAATACTCGAAAAATATACAGGTTCATGTACACATTCATGACACAGTAAAAAGAGTGGTGATCTATTATTTATAATGGTAGGGTGTATTCAGTAACACGCCATCACACATAATACTATGCTGATAATGCTGAGTGAAAGGTCCAGTTAAAGTTCTCATCCCCAAATGTTCACATGGCCCCCTAAGCAGTTAGTGGCTCCCTATTTTTATAACATGTTTAGCCTCCATGTAATGTTGTGTTAATATTACTGCTATTAGCATATAAGATTTGCCAGTAATGATCATTTATAGCTTTCATCATTATTGTGTACATGGAAGCTGTTTGTAACAGATACCTGACATACAAGGCATAATTACTCAGAATGAAAAAAAGTGGGAGAGTTTGTGCCCCATCTCAGAAGGCTATAGTTATAACTTTGAAGAAAAATGATGGTGTAGAAATTATCCAAAAATGTTTCTTTAATGTTCCTTTGAAAATCCCCTTCCTGGTCATCTTGATATAAATGGGAAATTCACTGAGCCCTTCATAGCAGCTTGAACTTGTTATTCCATGCATTGTTATCAATAACATTATATTTGCTGAACTAATTAGCAGTTAGAGTTGTCCCCCCTTCACAATTTGCTTGAAAGGGTCATCTGCTCATTGTGTTAGAAGGCCAAGCAGCTGAAGCTTCTTTGATGACATATTGTTACTGAGATGAAACTGTCAAGGTAAATGATGCCTTCATATTTACTTTTTGTGTGTAATTTTCCCAGAAACCAATGCTACCTGATGTGGATATAGTTGTCAGGCTCAATGACTCAGTCATTGTTTAGAATCAAGTCTGAATGATTGCATGTGTGGCTGCTTATGATCTCAATAACTGGATTGTCTGGTACAAACTCAGTTATTTACAGATATCATGTAGCTAGAATATTGTGTAGCAACAAACAACAAACAAGCAAAACAATTTATGCCAGCTTTGGATTGGGGAATTTGTGTGATAAATGTAGTCAAGGAAATTAAAACATGCAATATTGCCCCACTGCTTTTAGATTTTGCCCATAAGTATGAAGTATAAGAACCCAAAAGAAAATAATAAATTCCCTTAAAATATAGATTTTAAACTTGTTCCACTTCAAATACATTTGGTTGAGGGAATATAAGTAATACTATTAAACAAATCTCTTAAAATTAGTACTGTAGATCAGCCCAGTGTGCTCATAAATATGTAGTGTGATTTGCTATGAGCAGCCAAAATGAAATCAGAAGATTCCATTGATTGTAATTTTATGGTGTTATCCCTCTTCTGGTTGAATCTGTATGTATTATACTAATATTGTACAGATTCTCTGAAAATAAGAGATATTGTCCTGTTCAAGATTCAGCCCACAATTTTTAAATGTCAGATTATTCTGTTAGTATTAGACTTAGGAGACATTATCCTCTCCTGGTCAAAGGCATACCAGGATTAAATCAAGTTAACTCTCTTAAAGTTGTACTAATTAATGGCCTATTTGCTTTCATAGTCTGCTTTCTACATGTCTGAAATATGATCTACTATCATCATATTTTAAAGTTGTTTTCCTTTATCTAATTAAGGGCATATGAATAGTATAAAATAGTTATAAAAATCTCTAAACATTGGCAATATTGACCTGTTGCATGTAGACTCTGTTTCACAAGTTTCACTTATGACTAAATACTATCAACAGCCATGAGGAATCTTTAGATTCGATAACTGTAATTTTCAACTTTACTCAAGCAGATATTGTCACAAGGAATAAGAACGCCATAATAACTTTACCAGATAGATAAAACATGAACCTAACAGTTTACACACTCACACCCATTCAGCTTAAGTCAAATAACTATCACCCTTCAGTTTACACACTCACACCCATTCAGCTTGAGTCAAATAACTATCGCCCTTCAAGGGCATCACGCACAGCACACAGTTTAGACACAAATCAAACATTGCACAATCACTGTTTCCCTCAAAATACTAAAGGTTACTACATGCAAATCACTAATACATTAATAGTGTGCTAACAATCAACCCTTCTCATACAATACATTCAACTGTAGATTTTTAAGGCATATTCCCACACTTGGTTAAGGACATGTGAGTATCATTATTACTATTTCATTATTAATGCTATACTATTATTTCATTCAGAATTTGCTGACAAGTTGGAATAATAGTTAAATATCTCTGGAAATTTGAATAATTGACCCAGTTCATTCATAACTTACTTGTAGGTTTGAAATGCTATTTCTTATCATCAGCCATAAAAACTTTTTGAAATTCCATAAACTGTAGGTTTTAAAGACATTATCTCACTTCTGGTCAAAGGCACGTGATTAATAATAACAGTTCAAAATCTCTGTAAAATAGAATTATTGACCTAGTACATTCATAATTTGCTCAGAGGTTCGTAATGCTAATCCATATCATCAGCCCAGACAGCTTCTGGAAATTCCATAAACTGTAGACTTTAAAGGCATTATCCCACTTCTGCTCAAATGCATATGATAACTAATAATAGTTAAAAATCTCTGAAAATTTGAATTATTGACCCAGTCCATTAATAGTTTACTTGTAGGTTTGAAATGCTATTTGCTATCATCAGCCAAGATAACTTCTGGAAATATCCATAAACTGTAGGTTTTAAAGGCATTATCCCACTTCTGCTCAAATGCATATAATAACTAATAATAGTTAAAAATCTCTGAAAATTTGAATTATTGATCCAGTACATTAATAATTTACTTGTAGGTTTGAAATGCTATTTGCTATCATCAGCCAAGATAACTTCTTGAAAATCCATAAACTGTAGGTTTTAAAGGCATTATCCCACTTCTGGTCAAAGGCACGTGATTAATAATAATAGTTAAAAATCTCTGTAAAATAGAATTATTGACCTAGTACATTCATAATTTGCTCACAGGTTTGAAATGTTATTCAATATCATCAGCCAAGATAAAATTTTGAAATTGTATAAACTGTAGGTTTTAAAGACATTATCCTACTTCTGCTCAAAGGCACGTGATTAATAATAATAGTTAAAAATCTCTGAAAATTTGAATTATTGATCCAGTACATTAATAGTTGACTTTTAGGTTTGAAATGCTATTTACTATTATCAGCCAAGATAACTTCTTGAAATTTCATAAACTGTAGGTTTCAAAGGCATTATCCCACTTCTGCTCAAAGGCATGTGATTAATAATAATAGTTAAAAATCTCTGTAAAATAGAATTATAGACCCAGTACATTCATAATTTGCTCAGAGGTTTGAAATGCTAATCTATATCATCAGCCCAGACAGCTTCTGGAAATTCCATAAACTGTAGGTTTTAAAGGCATTATCCCACTTCTGGTCAAATGCATATGATAACTAATAATAGTTAAAAATCTCTGAAAATTTGAATTATAGACCTAGTACATTAATAATTTACTTGTAGGTTTGGAATTCTCTGTCCTATCATCAGCCAAGATAACTTCTTAAAATTCCATAAACTGTAGGTTTTAAAGGCATTATCCTACTTCTGCTCAAATGCATATGATAACTAATAATAGTTAAATATCTCTGAAAATTGGAATTATTGACCAAGTTCATTCATAACTTACTTGTAGGTTTGAAATGCTATTTGCTATCTTCAGCCAAGATAACTTCTTGAAATTCCATAAACTGTAGGTTTTAAAGACATTATCCCACTTCTGGTCAAATGCATATGATAACTAATAATAGTTAAAAATCTCTGAAAATTTGAATTATTGACCCAGTACATTAATAATTTACTTGTAGGTTTGAAATGCTATTTCCTATTATCAGCCAAAACAGCTTCTTGAAATTCCCTAAACTGTAGGTTTTAAAGGCATTATCCCACTTCTGCTCAAATGCATATAATAACTAATAATAGTTAAAAATCTCTGAAAATTTGAATTATTGATCCAGTACATTAATAATTTACTTGTAGGTTTGAAATGCTATTTGCTATCATCAGCCAAGATAACTTCTTGAAATTCCATAAACTGTAGGTTTTAAAGGCATTATCCCACTTCTGGTCAAAG